GCTCCTCTCCTATTCAACATATTTATGGCAGCGCTCTCTATTATAGTGGACAGCAAACTACAGGAAAGAGGAATGGGTGTTAGATACAGGTATGACGGCGGTCTGTTCAACATAAAAAGACCCATTGCAAAAACACGTATAAAATTCATCACAGAACTCCAATACGCTGATGACTGCGCTCTAGTTGCAAAATACGTTACAGCAATTACAGGTAATGCTGAACACATATACCTGGGCATACGAGACTTTTGGCCTTAAACTGAACATCGATAAAACAAAAATCATGTGCACTCCCCCGGAAAATCATAACAGCGCTATAAAAATCGGCGAAGAACTATTGGAATATGTATCGGAATTTAATTATCTCAGCAGTTTGATTTCGTAAAAGGCAAATATCGATTCTGAAATTCAGCACAGAATCAGCAGAGCCTCAAGAGCATTCTGGAAAATAAAAGACAGGGTTTTCTACAATCATGACTTGAGCACAAAAACGAAACTTGCAGTGTATCGAGCAGTAATAATCCCCACCATGTCATATGGAAGCGAAACCTGCATGCCGTACCGCCGGCACATGAGCGCATTAAACGTTGTAAAAGTTGTAACAAAGACACCTTAGACAACTGCTAAGAATCAAACGGTACCACCATGTCTCAAACGTATCAGTCCTTGAAAGAGCAAGTGGCGAGAGCGCTGAAGTCATGATTACTAAATCTCGCTTAAGATGGGCTGGCCACGTATGCAGGATGCAAGAAAACCGCCTACCGAAATCTCTTCTTTACTGTGAACTTGTAGAGGGTAAGAGGAAACCGGGTGCACAACTCAAAGAATACAAGGATGTTTTTCATGAAAACTTAAAGGGGATAAGTATGCAGCATCAGTGGGAGGAAGCAGCGCACAATAGAACGCAATGGAGGAGAATTGTAAATTCAGTTAATAACGACAACCAAAAAGTAAAGAGGCAACAAAGTAATGAGATTTGAATGTCCGGAGTGCGGAAGAGAAATAACATCACGTATCGGGCTTTTTAGTCACAGAAAAGCTCATGACAGGAAACGTCTTGCGTAACCATCTTTCTGATGCGTGTCAAATACTCGTCAGCGAGTAATGGCAGTAAGTAAGTAAGTAAGGATACCAAACTTCAATGAGTTATTCTACAAGTTCCTGTAAACATATATCTCCTAAGGAAGGAACAACTCTTCTTCCCAGGCAATTACAGCCTTCGAAATGGTAAATAAAAGTAATATATTTTATTTACTTGATTACTATAACATTGATGAACTGTTTTTCTTAAAATTCGTCATTCTTACACACATTTTATTGCCACAGCAAATAGCGTTATTGCAAAAAAACTTTACAGCCCTAAATGAGCACTTTCATTATGGTAGATAGTACTGGTGGTTTTTTAAAGGAATGAATACAGTAATTTCAAAAAATGACATAAAAAGCTAGAACTTTTTTACGCAAGAAGGGTGCTCTTCGTTTAGTTCGAATCGTTGAACGGATTTTAGGATTAGGATGCGTCGATATACCTATACACTACGATATAGACAAAGTAGTTACATACCAGATATCATCTAAAAAATTACAATATCTTTCAAGTGAGAGCTGTAAGGGCTGTAAATACTGTCAAAGGCTATAAGTTCCTCAGGAATCATTTTAGTGCATATGTCCATTGGAACATTTTCTTTTATTTTTATCTGTAGAATAACACTCTGAAGTTCAGTATACTATTTCTTGTCACCCTCTATAATTAAATGCATACCCAAGCTATGGTATTTTACTAATAATAAACAGCTCATTTTATTAATTTAGAAAAAGTATTAAATTAAATGCTGTTAATTCAAGCGTGCATATCACATTTTTTGTTCAAATAAATCCACGATTGGTTAAACATTTTCACGAAATATTATGTTAATTTTAAACTAGAATTGTTTTGCTTAAATCCGAAACCATCCAGCCGTGATAAATTAATTATGCATTAGATATTTTAACTATTTTAACGGCTGCATTATTTTCAATTATTAATTTGAAAGAACCATTTTTAGCGGCATAATTGTATTCCTGGCGTTTTGAATTTTATTAGGGTTTTAGAGGAAATCCATTTTAGCTTTTTGAATATTTTAAAGCTTTAAAAACCAAGATTTACAGTTTTCTTCTGTCCAACGAGTCAGTGAATATTTCGACATGACATTTAAAAAATGACAAAAAGTCCAATTTAGATTGTATTCCGTTAGGGTAGGTTAGGTTAACCAGTTTGGTAAACTACGGTAATGATCGGTTCCTGAAATATCGGTAAAATGTGGTAAAAATGTAAAATATTGGTGTTTTTAAATATCAATTTTCCTTTTTTGCTGTTTAATTTGGTGACAATAATGACAAATATTTTTCAGGAACAGACAACTATAGATAGTATACACTAACCGGCACGAAAAACGGGCACCTGAAAATGTTGATGTACTTTAAAGCTTTATATTATACTGTGTTCCAGTGTACCGATTATGATGATCTTTTAAGCAATATGTAGCTAAATTATTTGACCTTTTAGTATCTCTTTCTAAATTAAAAACGAATTTTCCCATCTGTCATTTTTTATACGAAGGAATACAAGATGTTATTATTTTGGTGAAAGTTTGGAACAACCTGTGGAATATGTTAAAAAAAACAATGGTTTTAAAAACCATTATATCACCTAGGAGCATCTTTTCTCGATAGTTTATTTTTTGGTTCTTTGCAATAGCTTTTTTTTTTTGGAGACATTCGCTATTGAAGAAGACACTTTAAAGATAACATTTTTTCATTATTTTTGCATTAAAACCATGCCTCTGTTTTTGGTCCCAGTCAACAAATCTATGAAATAGTATTTATAATTTATGTAATTTCACTGTTATTGAAAAATTATATGATTGTCTGTTTCCTATTGAGCAGATACTCTAGCAGAAATGGTATCCGCTAATAATTGAGGATGACAGAGATCAAAATTATGTTGCTAACATATTTAGATGTGCACGACGTGCTAGTTATATGCTAGAGGCCCAGGAACCTTAATGTGAGAACTTCGAATTGAGACGATCGACTTATTATAAGTTTGTTACTAAGAAACTACCGTTTGCCAGCTTTTCAAATTTGTAATGAATTGCACCTAAGGACTGTAAGAAGAAAAATAAACGAAGCAAATCTTGTGTCAAGAAGACCTACTTCGGGACCACAACTTACTACATTTGTTGACTAGGACCAAAAGCAAAGGCATGGATTTAATATAAAAATTACGAAAAATGTAGGTGTCTTCTTTGAAAGTAAATATTTCTAACAAAAATAAAACGATTGAGATGAACCAAACTTATCTAACATATTCCATAGAGTGTTTCAAACTTTCATCAAAATATCAACTTTTTCAATCAAATATCAATTTTGTATAGGGTGATTTACGGGGATGGCACGTTAGACGTTTATGGAGAACCAGTGACTTTGACAATGTGGATTTTTACTAAATGCATTTCCTCCATCTATCAAAAATATTTTTTAGGATTACAGTGTTGCCTCATCATTTGAAATGTCATAGCATCTTTCTTATATTAAATGGAACACCCGTTATATTATTACATTTTTGGAAACTACTTTCATAATTTCACAATTTTTCTATTATATAACCTTTACCTATCTCTAACATTTCTTGAGATAATAAATAAAACATATGCGACATTGACAAAAACATGATCTTGAATAAGCATTGGTAAAATCATAAACTGAACATTTTAAAAAAAATGTTAATTTTATTTTAAAAATAAAAAAAAAAAGGTGAAATTTGGGTAATAAATTAACGAGATCTATATGATCTATCAAATCAACTCATTTGATATTACACAGGGACAGTAATATAATATAATTTAAAAATTCAAAATACTAGTAAAATTTAAAATAACAACGATTTTATAACAAACAGAATTAAATATTTTTTTTGATCTCCCTGTTTAGACAGATCGAATATGTCGACTTTCCCTAACCTCTAAACCAAATTTCAGCTTGCAATATGCCGAATTTATTATACAATGCGATGCAATGCTTATTCAAGATTATGTTTTTGTTAATTTTACACATATTTTATTTTTTATTTTGAAAACTATTAGAGATTGGTATAGATTAGTATATAATAGAAAAATTATCAGATATGAAAGTAGTTTCGAAAAATGTAATAATATATCAGGTGTTTCGACCATTTAAAATGACAAAGATGCTTTCGTATGAAGCGGCAACACTAAAGCCCCGTTCTCAGAATGACGTCGTGTCGCCAGCGACACTGATTGACACTTCGAACAACCAATGGGAGCTGTACTAAATTTAAAATTGACAGCTGTTTGAATTTTGTACAAATCTCATTGGTTCTTTTGAGGTGCCGCTGGCGACAGTCGATGTTCTGAGAACGGGGCTTAACGCGGAAAATAATAGACAGATAGAGCAAGCGCCTTTATGCAAAAATTCAAGTTTGAAAAAAAAATAATCCATCAGCGGTTCTCCGTAAACATCTAACGTACCATGAATGTGAATCACCCTGTATAAATTTCTTATTGTACCAGTAAAAAATACATTCTTTTAAAAATATGTTCTGTCTCTCACAACTTGATCACATATTTATATTTAGATATTCCCTTTTCCCTCCATCGCTCTCTCTCCTTAAAAATAAAAATATTTTCTCTAACAAGCAATGTGAATTCGGATTATGTCGTTGCCTCCTCCTTTTTTATATTTAAAAAAAGACTTAAAATTAAAAAGGAACTCAAAAAAAATCTTTTATACTTCTTTTGTAATCCATTGTCTTATTTGTCTTTATTTTCTTTATTTTTTTATCCAGAGGATTATATATTTGCTTTAAAAATATGCTTTGTCAAGAATATAATCTTATTGGAATTGTCTGAATATTTTCTTTGAATTTCAAATAAAGACGTGTTTCTATAGTAATGTATATTTCTTTAATTTTTATATTAATACGATTTTTTTTGTTTCAGAGGCTGCCTAAAATGGTAAGTAGACACTTAATTCTTATAACTGAGAAACTAGAAATATAAAACCTTTTGGCTTTTTTACAATTTTAGGATTAAAACGAAATGTGACCAAAGAATATTTTTAGAATATTTCTCTTCTAAAACAAAAATTTCCATAATAACATAATATAATTAATTAACTTAGAACTGCAATTCGGGCTTTGGAATTTTTTATCTTACATCTATAACAAAATTAAGAAGGGGAATCATAATTAATCACAAGTATTTCCTTTACGAACAGAATAATTAAGATTAATATCTTAGACTAAAGATTAATATTACTTAAATACCAAAGTAATACAGAAAAAAATCTTTTAGGAATTTAAAATGGCAAAACAAATTTAGAGAAAAACTAATAAACTTTTAAGTCTTTAAAAATTAAAAGTATTAAAAACACACTCGAAAAAAAAATCCAAAAAAATATTGTAAAGACGGTCCTAGACGATGTGACGAACACCTTCAAACGTTGGACGCACGGCATTCGCCACATCGTGTTGGAGCGCAGAAATCCATGTGTCGAACGTTCAAAGCAAGTTCGGGCTCTTGTCGGTAAAAGGACCTTTCAACGTTCGAAGTAATGTTCGCTGCGCTCCTACACGAGAGTCTTCACGTGGCTGATATTTTACTTGGGATCAGTAGCGGCCTCGCTTTTAATGCTAAAACGTGGTCTCCTCATGCTGAAACGTTTTCGTGATTTGTTCTTTGCCAGAAATATGTAAGTACATACATAGGTATATAGAAAGATTAATTATTGGTTTTCTTTGTGTTAATAAATATCGGACAGAATTTTTGGTTATTACATTACTTTAGTGAAAACACTGAAATTTCCTTTTATTCATTCACTTTTTCTATTCATCAAGATTTTCTTCTTATATTAGATATGTGAATAAGTTTTTAATTTTTACTAAAATTACTTTTAAAATTTTCCGTTTTTAGTTAAAATAGAGTGGAATAATCAAATTATAATGGACTTTATTTCGATTTACGAGAAATATCCAATTATATGGAATCCCAGGCATTCAGAGCATAAAAACCGGAATGCCTTAAATGATGCTTGGCGTGACATTTCTCTCTCAAATGAGTATAGACTTATCAGTAGCAGAATTGAAGAAAACAAAAGAATCTGTAATGGCAACGTATAGAACGTTAAGGAGGAAAGTTATAAAGTTATAGATTCTTATATAACCGGATCTGGAAGTGCAGATATATACAAAACATCTAGGTTTGCTTATGATGCTATAGACAGATTCATAAGATTCTGTTACGTCTTCTTTTTCTTTTGCTCCTGTTATGTAGTTCTTTTGGTTCTTAACAGTTTAGCGCAACTTAAAACTATCATACCAGCGGCAATCCCAGCACTTAATATATTATCCATATCTGCTCAAGCGAAGAGTATGTACGACACTGAGTTAATTTCACAAATGTAGCGCCAGGTTTGCGTCCAACGTTGGAACGAACGTTTGAAGCATCGTGTAGGAGACACATTCGCCAATTGTAATATTGTCGAAAACTGTGTCAAATGTTGGTTCGAACGTTCGTTCGAACGTTGGACGCATCGTGTAGGACCGTCTTAAGCAGAAGGAAGTGTAATGTGTCAAAAATATTTTTTAAAATCTTAAACATCTGTTAGGGACCACCTTGCAAAATTTTTTGTTTTAAATCAATGGTGTGCTTTCTAATAATAATTTTGAGACCTAGGCCTTAGAGATTATAAAATTAAAAAGTGGAATCATATTTAACCAAAAATTTTCACTTTACAAGCGAAATAAATACACAAGTTCTACAGAGAAGATCTTTTAAGAAATTAAAATGGCTAAACATGTTTCGAGAAATAAACAAGTAACCTTTCATGATGTTAAAATGTAAAAGTCTTTAAAAACTACCCGAAAAATTACGGCAAAAAAGAAGTAGTATAATATGTCATAAATACTGTTAAAAATCTTGAACATCTGTTAGGCGCCACCTTGCAAAATTAATAAAAATACGAAGTCACCAACACAACATGTGTATTTTAATAAACGACACAAAATATTAGATGGAAAAAAATCGAATACAAATACGCCTTCCAGGCGACACACCAGCTGGATCGTGTTCCTCAAACGCCATCCGCCAGAATTCGCTTCCCAAATTGGTTTTAAATCAATTGTGCGCCCTCTAATAACAATTTCCAGAACTAGACCTTATTGAAAAAAATCTAAATTATATCTGCTGTAACGATAGAGAACGTCTTCTGTCTTTTCTCTGCATCGCAAGCACATTGTTTGAGTTACTTTGTTCCTCGTGGAATTTTATTATATTTCTTTGCTTTTTCTTGTTGAAATTCTGGATTCGATTGTATTATTCTTGGAGAAAATGTCAGTTTTGTCTCTCGCAGTTATACCGATAGATATTTTCTTATCGTTGATGATATATAATAATTGAATAGTCTTTTATAAAACTGGATTATTTTTTTTTTATTACAGTTTATGTTTCTCATGTTTCAACATATTTGGTTAACTGATTTATCTCTTATATTCATTTGCTGATTTAAAATATGTTTAAATTTTTATTTGCTATTACAGTTAAAACGTTAAAATTCTTTGGAAGAAATGGGCAATTTTTTGATTTTGAAAGACGCCCTTGTATGGATCAACAAAGCGCAAGTTTTCTCTCATTTAATCATCTTTGCTCCATTTCTGGCTTACGAAATCTCAATAGTGTGCATTGATATGTAGGATATCATATATATTATAAAATATTAACAAACATCAGGAAGTGTAAACACATTTCTGATATATTAAACAAATTAATTAACCCCCATATCAGAAATATATTTATAACCTTCCACATTATGCTGCCACACTTTACCATATTAATCAAATACTTACAGTTCAAAAATGCATTTTTAAAACGACAATATATGTGTAATAAAATTAAGAAGTGGAATCATATTTAATCAAAAATATTCCCCTTCACGAACAGAATAATTAAAATTAATACCCAAGTTCTATAGAAACCCTCTTTTAAGGTATTAAAATGACAAAACATATTTAGAGAAATAAATAAAACCGTTTAACTAATAAACTTTTAAATCCCTAAAAAAGTCAAAGTACTAAAAAACATTAAAAAAACGGCAAAAAAGTAGTACAATATGTCATAAATATTGTTAAAAATCTTGAACATCTGTTAGGCGCCGCCTTGCAAAATTAATAAAAAACGAAGTCACAAACACAACATGTGTATTTTAATAAACGACAAAAAATATTAGATGGAAAAAAATAGAATACAAATACGCCTTCCAGGCGATACAGCAGCTGGATCGTGTTCCTCAAACGCCATCCGCCAGAATTCGCTTCCTAAATTGGTTTTAAATCAATGGTGCGCCCTCTAATAACGATTTCCAGAACTAGACCTTATTGAAAAAAATCTAAATTATAGTCGCTGTAACGATAGAGAACGTCTTCTGTCTTTTCTCTGCATCGCAAGCACATTCTTTGAGTTACTCGTGGAATTTTGTTATATTTCTTTGCTTTTTCTTGTTGAAAATCTGGATTCCATTGTATTATTGATTCGATTGTATTATTCTTAGAGAAAATGTCAGTTTTGTCTCTCGTAGTTATATGATATGATAGATCTTTTCCTATCGTTTATGACAAACAAATACTGTAATTTAATAGTTCTATATATAATATAGAATAATTTATTAGTTCTTTATAAAACTGGATTATTCTTGTTGTTTTTTTTGTTACAATTAATGTTTCTCTTGTTTCATCAAATTTGATTTTCTGATAATACTCGTATTTATTTGTTGATTTTAAATATTATGTTTAAATTTTTATTTGCTATTACGGTTAAACCTTAAAGGAAGGTATGGTGGTTTAAAAAACCACTCGAAAACATAATAATATAATATGTCAGGTATATTGTTAAAAATTTTCAACATCTGTTAGGCATCATCTGGCAAAATTAATAAAAGACGATGGTAAAAACCAGGGCGTGCGGTGAAATGATAGGGAAGCAATTTTTAAAAACTTACCTAAAGTAATTCGATTCTTCGATCACTTATTGCAAATTCGTCAATTACGTCATCATAAAAATCTGGATGCTCCGACATGATTTGGGGAAGATAATTTTCGTTGGATAACAGCGATATACTTGCGAAAGTTTCTCCTGACCCGTTGAATTTCTCACAAAATTTTCTGTTCGTTTTAATGTTGAAAAATTGCGTTCTACTGATGAACTTGTGGCAGAAATTGTCAATACTAATTAATACAATTTCGACACTTTTAAAAATTGCATTAGTTCTCTAGCGTTATTTTTTGCAATAATGCCAACAGTTTCAAAAATCACTTTCAGTTCAGATCGCAGTAACACTCGGTCGAAGAACTGGCCATAATGAAGAAGAAGAGATTTAAACGCATCTTCTGGAAAAGTTTTTCCTTTATATGCATCAAAATGGTAAAACTCCAGGAATTTAAAATCATTTAAACCGTTAAATCTACAGTTTATTTGTTGCTCAATATCAGTTCGAGAAAATAAACGACATCGATAAGTCTTTTTAATATTTGTCTATTTTTATGGACTAGTTTCTTGTGGCGCTGACTAATTTCCAACTGCGTATTAAGGGCCTTTTCAATTCTGGTTTTGCCAAAGACTTTTTCTTTAATGACGGCCTAAATGTGCTTTGGACATAATATGTCTTTTTACAGCTTTATGGAAATTGTTGGTTGTGAAAAAAACTAGTTTTATTCCAGAGACCCTTTTCATTTTCAAATAATAAACATGGCCAACCAAATAACTTACGTATATTTTCACACCCTGTTAACCAATTAAATTGTTCGTATTGTTTTTCGGGATGTTGAAAAATATTAGGACACGTACCATGATGTTTTGTAATTTGTTTAGGGGAAGCACTGCTTCCCTTGCATCCATGGACTGCACGCCGCTGTTACAAATACAATATGTGTATTTTAGTAAACGACAAAAGATCGAATACAAAT